ATATATATATATATATATATATATATATTTTAGACAGGGTCTGTCTATGTAGCCCTTCCTGACCTGGAGCTTACTATATAGACCAGGCTGGTCTCAAACTCACAGAGATCTGCCTGCCTCTGCCTCTCATGTGCTGGGATTAAAGGCATACATGATCATGCCCAGATGATTTGGGGGACTGTTAGCAAAAGAAGGGCAAGGTCAGTATGGCAGGCAAAACAAGTGTCCACAAGGTATCAGACAGCAGTCAGCCAGTCATGGTGACACATGCCTGTCATCTCTGCTGCTTGGGAGACTGAGGCAGGAGGATGGCAAGTTCAAGGCCTGCCTGTGCTACTGAGTGACTTCAAGGCCAGTCTGAGCAATTTAGTGCGACCTTTATTCAAGATAAAATAATAATAAAAGAAAAAGGGTAGCCGGGTATGGTGGCGCACACTTTTAATCCCAGCACTCGGGAGGCAGAGGCAGGTGGATCCTCTGTGAGTTTGAAGCCAGCCTGGTCTACAGGTAGACCCTGTCTCAAAAAAAGAAAAGAAAAAAGGGCGTGTAGCTCAATGGTAGAGCATTTGCCTAGAATTACCCAGTGAGAGGCTAGGGGTGTGGCTCAGTGGTAGAGCACCTGCCTAGAATCCCCCAGTGAGGGGCTGGGGGTGTGGCTGAGAGTCAGTGCTTGTCTAGCATGTACAAGACCCTGGGTTTCATCCTTCCTACTGAAAAAACAAAAACAAACAAAAAAGAGATTTCAGCCTATGAACCCTCCTCTGGGGACCTTGTATCACCCTGGACATCTCCAGTGTTCTTGTAAGGGGCCCTGTTTTGTTGGACAGGTCACTTAGCAGACTTCAGAATGGCAGTCTTGGCATTGTAAGTCACCCTTATATCTGTGTGTCCCTGTGCTTACCTGGATGGGGTATCTTGCCTTCTCTGTTTCTCACCTGTTGGCACCCACCAAGGTATAATGACTGAATTCACGATTGATTTTCCTTCTCTGCTCCTTCCCAGAATCCACCAACACATCAGAACTGCGGATTTGCCGAATCAACAAGGAGAGCGGGCCATGCACTGGTGGGGAGGAGCTGTACTTGCTGTGCGACAAGGTGCAAAAAGGTGAGGGGTCTGGGGGCACCCCAGAGATCAGAGGCTGAGATGGAGGTGCTGATTAGCCAGGGCAGTGCCCTGGAGGGATTCTGAACCCTGGCTTTGGCGTCAGCAATGTAGACAGTTTGTGCTGTAGCTCATCTCTGCACTGGGAGGGAAATCCATTTGTCAGTTGATGTCATACAGTGCTTTCAGGAAACTTCCACACTGCATATGCAATTGCACAAATGCTGGGGCTGGGCTTGGTGGTGCATGCCTTTAATTTCAGCACTCAGGAGACAGAGGCATGTGGATCTCTGGGAGTTTGAAGCCAGCCTGGTCTATGTAGTGAGTTTTAGGCCAGTCAGGGCTGTATAGTGAAAATCTGCCTCAGGGGAAAAAAAAAAAAAAAGAGGTGCTAGGGGTGTGTCTCATTAGTAGAGCACCTGCCTAGAATCCCCCAGTGAGGGGATATTGGCGTGACTCAGTGGTAGAGCACCTGCCTAGAATCCCCCAGTGAGGGGCTGGGGTGTGGCTCAGTGGTAGAGCACCTGCCTAGAATCCCCCAATGAGGGGCTGGGGTGTGGCTCAGTGGTAGAGCACCTGCCCTCTATACACCAGGCCCTAGCACTCTGGATGAAACAAAAACAAAGGAACAAGTAAACAAAGAAAACCCAAACTCCAAGAAATCACCTGTTTTGCACTAGTTGTGGGAAGAGGTAGAGATAAGGCAGGGACAGGGAAATGTCTTCTGTGTCATTTGCATGGTTTAAAATATCCCTTCCTCAAATGGCTTGAAAACAAAAACTGAAAAACCAACAACCAAAAAAAAGAAAAAAAAAGAAAAACCACCCTGCACTCAACAGGGTCCATATGAGGACAAAGTAGTATTATTTCTGTATTTAAAAGAATATTTTAGGGGCTGGAGAGATGCCTCAGCAGTTAAGAACACTATTCTTGCAGAAGACCCAGGTTTAAATCCCAGCACCCACATGGCAGCTAACAACTGTCTGTAACTCCAGTTCCAGGGGATCCGACAGCCTCTTCTGTCCTCCATGGGCATTGCACGACATGGACATGAATGCACTTACCTTCATGTAGGCAATACACACATACACATTAAAAAAAAAAAAAAAAAAAAAAAAAAGAAGTTAAGGGGGCCGGGCATAGTGAC